ATCTGATTGTCAACAATAGGATTTTGAGCAAAGTTTTTAACATTAAATTATGCAAAAGGTGTCAGACGCAAATATTTCAGAAACCGTATGTATCAAATATGATACATTTGGCATTACAGCGTTAAAGTTTCTTTATAAGAATAAAGATTCTTGATTATAGTTACCCACCTAAAATAAAGTACAAATATTTTTGCATGCATGCATAGCTTAACATATGATTATTTGCATTTACAATGCATCATTTGCAAACACCAATTTTCTCAGATTTGTATGCATTAAAGTTACTTTAATACCATCTCCCCCTCCATTCAGCTGATGCCTTGTTTGAAGTTTACTAGAGAAGCATTAATCTGATACTCAGATCAGATATCACCTCCTATACTGACCGTTTAGCTGGATCGGATATCAAATAAGAATCAGAATCAGACATACTTTAATAATCCCAGAGGATTAAATGAATGACACCGATCCAGCATTACAATCCAATTATTTCAATTTTTCTTACAGTCCTACATTCACATGTATCTAGTGACTTAAAATGTATTATTGCAATGCTGATTAGGTCACCGTGCAGAGAATACACAGCAACCGGTGAGGATTTATATCTGTGTTCATTTGTCACTGTTTTTCTAACAAAGTGTTAAGCATTAAGCCTTTACTAACATCACAAGATATACAGTTAATTCAATCAATAAGGGTATCGGATCGGTATCGGACATCAGCCAATGTATTGGTGTCCCCTTTACCTCACAGATGCCTAAAAGTGTGACGTTTCTGTCATGTGATTGGTTAATTCCTTATTTGTGTTGACAAGAAATTGAACAAGTCCAACTGAAGTACCTGGGGAGCCTTATTTTAGTGTTTGTTTCATTTGTTTGATTCTATACATTTTGAACTTGCTGACTGCAGCTGTTTCAATAATAACCCACTTTTAACAAATGTATCATTTTACACCGTCCCCACTAATACCCAAATCATCAACACAAGATTTTAGACTATATCCTGTAACCCATATTATATTGTGACCCAAGCAGGTGATACATGTATTTCACCAAAGACTTCTTCTGAGTTCAGGTATTCGTCTTGTGGCTTTAGGTTTAGGTATAAAACTTGAGACGTTAGGGCTAGAAGAAAACAGATAGCACACCCTTGAGTCACAATATAGTTAAAAACATGGTGTAACACTAACAACCCACTTGCTTTTTCCAGCAGACACTCAGCATATGTCATATATAACAATTTTAGATAAAAAATGACCTATGACACCATGACGCCCAGCTTCCCGCTAGAGCCTTCCAGCACAACACCCAGGCTGTTGTAGTGTCCAGGCATAGGCCAGTCTCTGGATATATAAGAGTAGCAGTTGAATCACATCTTGCTCCTAAGCTTGTCTCTCCAGGTTTCGCTGCCAGCCCACAATTCACCGGCATGCCAACAAAAAAAGGCCAAACATAAGGTTTACTATCTTTCACTTGTCCAGCTTTAAGATCTGCTACAACAACAAAGAGAGGTGTTTACATCATTGCTACAACATCAACAAGAACATTTTACAGGGTTTGTGAAGCTAGTAGAGTAATCAGGTACTAGAAAGGACAGTATTGCAAAATGTGTTCAAGATGTGAAAACACGTCTGCAATCCACCCTCTGCACCAGTCTGAAGAGGAGCTGAGCAGCTCCTTTAGTGAAAGACTTTTACATCCTGTTTGTAAAAAGAAGCGCTACCGCAGGTCATTTATCACTGCTGCAATAAGACTCTACAATGCAACACTACAATGGCAATAACTTGTGCAATGTATAACGTGCAATTTACTATTTAATACCCCATGCAATAACTTGTTTCTCTATATTTCACACCCAGTGCAATAATTATATATATCTATATAAATACCCAATGTAAACTCCCTGTGCAATTACCGTGTATAATGATTCTACTATATAAAAAAATCTGTAATATGTGGAAGAATTGTATATGCGGTATATATTCCATGCACCTTTTTTCTTCATTTGGCACATTCTTTTTTTTTTTTACTATTTGAGGTGATGGAACAAGTACATTTCTCCACAGTTAGATCAATAAAGTCAATCAATCAATTAATCTCTTCAGATGGAAGCTAATTAAAGGAAAATACATTTAGACAAGCAGATGGTACATGGTCAATCTTTGGAAATTGATATTTTTAAGATATGTGAAGGTCTTTAGCTGTTGCAGAAAAACTAGAATATCTGAAAGGATAATCAAAGAGGAATAATATAATGCTTGAGGGTTATAGAGTCATCAGGAGAAAAGTTGAGCTGATTCTGAGTTAAATAAATCATTAAGGAAAAGCTGCTTTCAAATGAAGTGTTTACCCTTAATTTCAGTAGGTAAATAAGATGATTTGCCCATTAAATAATTATTTTTACTTTAAAAATAAGACAATTAGATATATAGGTATTACCTGGTGTAAATATTTTCTTGTCAAGACTCTTGTCAAGAATCTGTGGAATGTTTGACTGGAATCGTGCAGGGGGCTTTGAAACATATTTTAAGCATGACTGAATATTGATTGGTTTATCACAGAATTGTTCTTTAAAAAGGAGGTTGTCTACTTTCTCTATGACCTATGGATTGACTCAATTAATTAAACCAGCAAGAACATGCTCAATAAATGACGTGTAGGTCCTGAGCTATACCCAACTGTATGTACAGCCCCTGTAGGATCCAGTGGGCTAGATTTAATTATCATTGTAAGGAATGCAAAAGTTGTAAAACCAGAACCAAAAAGCATTTACATAAGATCACACAAGCGGTTTAATCAAAATGAAATCTTTAAAAATATTTGTACGGCTTCATTTTTTTGTAAAAGCGAATCCTAATAATGCGCTTCAGGTTTCAATAATGTTTTCATGTCTGTGGTGAACAAACATGCCCCGGCACAGAGGTTTGGGGTCAGAAACACTTTCACACCATGGTTAGACAGCGAAATTAAAGAATATGAATATAAACAAGGAAAACAAGCAAGGAAAGATACAAATATTACTGCCAATCAGTCTAACTGGAAATTATTGTGTAAACTGAGAAATTAAATCGAAAAAAAAAAAAAAACGCCAGAAGATCTTATGAGAATTAAATAAATGCTAGCAGAAACAACCACAAGAGAACGTGGTATACTGAAAAAGAGTTACTTGGAAAAATATGAATTGCTCTCATCTTTTTAGAAGAAAATGGAAAATTGTAATCAAATGTAAGGATATTGCTTATTATCTAATCAACTGTTTCATTGATAAAGATGTTAAACTAACGAAAACAATGCCTAATGTAGATAATGCCGCTTATATTAATAGAAATATAATCATGAAAAAAATATATATTTTGTTAATTTCTATTGAATAGTGAGACTGAAAATAAATTAAACTGTGTAAAATTAAACCAGCAGCCAATGATAATCTTGTATGTATGAATGTATGCATGCATACATTTATGTATGTATTTAGATATTTATGGGCAGTGTCAAAAGCAGTGGATTAGAATCAATAGGATCACAGTGCCTGATATATGCTTGTGTGTGTGTGTATATGTAATAAAAATATTATCATATAGTAGTACAGTGATGGCACTGGGATTTATTCATTTTAAGAATGTTAGTATTGAAATCGTTGTATTTTTGAGTTACTTTTATTTTTATTTTTTTATATTTATTTCTGAGTTTATTATTTTATATTTCTATGAAGTTTATGTTATTGGTTTAATTTTATTTTCTTGTATAAACATTGGTATGGAGCCCAGGAATAATAGCAACAGCATTAAGTTTTAGCTAATGGTGATCCTCGACAGGCTGGGTGGGCCTTGTTTTATCTTCTTTTTTTCTGGAGCACAAAACACAAACAAATAAAAAACAAACAGAAATGGGGGAAAATAGTATTACGCTGCAAAAACACATCTAAAAATAAGGGGAAAATTTCTTTAAAAGTGTATTTTCCCTTCAGTTGAGCAGGGGAAAAAATGCTCTGCCAAAATAATGAGTATTTTCCCCTTAAAATAAGATTATTAGACACATATAAGAATATTAGATATGTTGAATGTTGTGTTTTTTTATTTATTTTGAAAATTATCTTAGCTACCTGCTTAAAGATGGGCATACACTGTGCAATTTTTTCAATCGTTGCACGCACCTGCAGCTCACAGCTCACGATGCATGTTCAGCACGACGTCTGATGTGATCTACCTGCTCACACTGCATATCTAAAAACCCTGACTCAGCTCCGCAGTGAGATGGAGCTACTCTGACTCGTCTAAGCCAAATGAGTAGAAGAGGAATATAAAGCACACTAGCGTGAAACATGCTGCCTTGGCAATTTGTGCAATTTTTGTGCTGAAAGCCCTAAAAAAAGGTGACAACATATTCGGACAAAGACATGGCTGAGCAAACGTGGCTACTACGGTCTGTCAGTGTTACAGAAAGAACTCAATTTCAGTCATTGCACTCCCGCCATGCTTTTGTGTTTACATCTGAGAGGAAGAAAAATAATCCTTATTTGCGCATGCCCACTGAGCGATTTGACTACGACGGTCAGGACCGTCCCGACCTCACGATTCCAGATCGCCCCTCATTACCCCCTGTACATGAAGCACGATCAGGCTGAAAGTCGGCCCGATCGGAAAATTCTCGCGCTACTTGAAAGTCGGACTGAAAAGTGCAAACAATCGCACAGGGAAAGGGAAATATACATACACAAAAATACAAAAAAAAAACCCAACAACTTACATCTACATTTTTGCAGTGTATCTTTTCAGAACAGGGGCCATAACAGAAGCTAAGACCAATTTACAGGGACTCTGGCCCCAGTTGGCCCTCATCTAGAACCGCCCATGACCAATAAACAAATAAAAAAAAGAAAAGGAAAATCCGATATAAACTGGCATTTCTCATAAAACATCCCACCGTCACTGCAATAAACTGAGGTGGGAATGGAAAAAAGACGGTTTATTATGGCTTGGAGTGTGGTTTAACACAGAGCTGCCTGAGTCACCGGGGTCTGTCTCTATCACGAGAGCAAAGGTTGTTTAAAAAGAGACGGAAACAGCCGTAGGACACACCCATCTTTACCCAACTCTTTTCCCCTGTCCGCTTCTCCGATGCACTTCTCTTCCTCGATCTAACTGCCAACCAGATAAGTGAGTAACTCTTTCTAAGGTTATGCAGGCTAAACATAAGAGGATAAAACCGCCTCTATCTTTGAGTTTTAATTTCATGGCTGACGGTTAACGGCTTCAGTTGAGATGTTTGTTTCCGTGAATGGAAATGGAGGAGATTAGCCTGGACTGGATGAACAGATTCTGCGGAGAAATATCCGTTTTTCATTTTAAACGGTCGGGATATATTCTTAAAATATAGCAAGCCCCTTTCTACCTCTACAGTACGAATACCAACTGAAAGAGGCGTAAATATGTCTTTTTTTCTTTTTTTTTTTAGGTGTGGTGACGGAGGAACGCTGTGTCCTCTCCCCTGTGCTTTAAACCTTAAAAGAACAAATTTTGAAGCAAAATGTCGCATTTTTATCTTCATTATTCCGTAACTACAAATAACGAACAGTTGTTTTCCTAATAATACCACCTTACTTTAAAAAAGAAAAACGCAATTCTCGCTAGCTAGTCTGCTGAGAGTTTGGGCCTCTGATGCTATCAAGTTAGAGATGTTGCCGTTTAGGTGAGCTTCATAAAAGTGCGTTTCTCCTTCTCCTCCAATCTGTTGAAGGGTTTCTTATTTAGAGTTTAGACTCTAGATGTAATCAACATTTTTTGACAACCTTTTATATTTTTCATGTTGCATATGTAGGTAAATATTCAGCACTCGGTTATAAATGCAGTGGTGAAAAAGCGATAATTACGAGCGCACGTAAAAGCCTCACCGTTTTAAAATTGAGTTCTATGTAAGAAAGCTGGAAAGCACTGGGAGTGCCAAACAAAAGTTTTCTAGGAACTTTTGTTTACACCGGTGTTACACAATGTAGGTCAGCTCTATATGATTAAACCTGATTTTAATATTTCCTCGATGAAATGCCAGTAACTAAAAATTAATAAATGGAGTTTGCATTATCTTTAAATACACCATGCATAGTTGTTATGGATTCAACCAGAGACTTTAATGGAGTTCATTGAAATTTACAACCATAGAAAAGGCAAAAGTTAAATGATGGATCAAAAAAACAAAACAAAAAACTGTGTCGTCTTTTATTCTGGTACCCCAAAATAAAATGAAGTCCAAATAATGCATTCAAAGGTAAATTAATTAGGAAATTAATTAACTCCACTTGGGTGTTATTTAATCTCGGTGTAAATTTAGCTTTTCCTTCAAAGCCTTAGAGGGTTATTAAAACATAATGGCTAGATTTTAAAACCATTTCCCCCAAGTTTTAAAACTCTCCCAAAGCACTTTACATAAGCAAACCTACCAAGAAAAGGTAATTTGCATAAATGACACAGGACGCTGAGGCAGTTTATAAAGCTTTCGTTACGTACATAGAAAACAGGGCCTAAAAACCTGTGTACACTGTCTTCGGAGAAAATTTATGAGTGAATCTGGACATGTAGGTGGAAGAACATGGAGTTTTGGACTTAAATTAAGAGGCACACATATTGATATATTTAAAGAAAAATTGCTTGATTTTGTTTGTACACATGGCTTTATAAATGAGGATTTTTTTTCAGAAGTGTGTACTACATTTTTGGATGTTTTGCATATTTATACTTAAGTATGAATTCAATGCAATGCTTTCTAAATGAGACCCGTGGCTATTATGTAATTGTAGTTTGTGTAGAGTTGACTGCAAATGGATTGAGGAAGCTCTAATAAAAAAGGGACCCTAATGAGATCAAATTAGGGTTTGTTTCACCCAAATTCAATCCCTCCTCTGTGTCAGAAAGCAATGCATTGCACTCTTAGCACGCCATTGCAGAGTGAGACATTGTTGTAACAACATGGATGGATAGAACTAATAAGGAATGCTTTTAAAACTATGCATGTTTCCTCCACGTTTGCTCCACCATTGTGGTCCACTATGTCAGTCTCACTTAAAATCTTATGAAATACGTTGAAGTGTAAAATATGAGAAAGTGTGTAGAAATAAAATGTGTGTAGGATCCTGACTTATCCCGTTACAAGTCCAGGGGGCAGTTAATTAAGGAAAGTAGCAAAGCATTATCGATCAATTTAAACAGGTCTTCCAAAGGAAAACTTTGCATGTGAGGGAAAAAAATTTTTTAATATGAGTTTTATTAAATTAACAAATGCTAATTGATTTCATCCTTTTGGACTATGGGTTTTTTTTTCAATGTATGTTAAAAATGCTCCTAAATATCTCCTTTACATTACACCTCCAGGTTCTGAAGATGAGTTACCCAGGATACCCACCACAAACTGGTGGATACCCACCGCAGGGAGGAGGCTACCCACCACAGGGAGGAGGCTACCCACCGCAGGGAGGAGGCTACCCACCCCAAGGGGGAGGCTACCCACCCCAACCAGGTGCATACCCTCCAGCAGCAGGCGGCTATCCTCCAGCACCAGGAGCCTACCCTCCAGGAGCTGGTAGCTACCCTCCACAGGGGGGTGGATACCCACCTCAGGCTGGATACCCACCTGCTGCAGGGGGCTTTCCCCAACCTGGAGGGTTCCCTGCTCAAGCTGGAGGCTTTCCTCAGGCAGGTGGCTACCCTGCACAACCAGGTCAGGGAGGATATCCCTCCATGCCTCCAGCAGGTGAGACTATAAAAACAATTAATAACAGGCTTAAAAGAAAAGTTTGCTTATATTTTAACATTATTTCTAACGTTTACTTTGCAGGCGGAGGCTGGGGTGCAGCACCAGGTGGCTATGGGGCGGTAAATGAATCCTTATTTCTATATACCAAAGGCGGCAATATCTTCACTAACATAAGCAGATTAATGGGGGCTTTATTTTCTGAAATCACCTATTCTTCACCAACCTAAACTAAGCCAGGGTTTCTTCTCTGCAGTTTCTCTGCATGAAGTCTTCACAGATCTCCTTTTCTTTTTGCAGCCAGGAGGGGCTCCGCAGGGATATCCAGGGGGCCCTACCCCAAACCAGCCAATGCCAAATTACCCTGGAGCCCCTAGCAGTGGCCCCTCGATGCCTGGATACGGGGGCGGTGTTCCCTCCAACCCTCAGGCACCAGCGATTCCTGTAAGATATGCAGAACATGTTTTATTGATAAAACATTACACAACGTTCTAAATTAACACCAGAGTTAAGTTTTTTTTATTTACAATATGCCTTTGTAGAAAGGATACAGGGGTAGCATCAAAGATTTTCCTGGAGCTGATCCACTGAAGGATGTTGAAGTACTCCGGAAAGCAATGAAGGGTTTTGGTGAGTAAATCAGTGAAATGAACCATTAGAATTTATCTCTCCATTAACTGTTACATCACTTCGTGTTCACATAAAATATTCAAATGGAAATGAAAAAACTTTGAAACAGGAACTGATGAAAAGGCCATAATTGAGCTTCTGGGAAGTCGCTCCAATAAGCAGAGAGTTGCATTGATATCAGCCTACAAGACTACATATGGAAAGGTCAATTTAGTAGATAAGGACTTATCTTCTTCCTGTGTGTTGTTTATGTTTTGATTTTCATAATTTCTTGTGTGTTTCATTTGTTTTTGTGCCTTCTAGGATTTGATTAAAGATCTGAAGTCTGAACTTACTAGAGACTTCGAAGACCTGGTTCTTGCCATGCTGAAGACGCCAGCTCAGTTTGATGCCTCTGAGCTGAGGGAGGCAATAAAGGTGAAATGAATTTCATTTAATTTGATTCACATGAACTTTAGGTCATAAAGATTTTACTTGTGGACATAAAGACAACGATTATTTTTTAAGGTTCTAGTGGGCTTTACTTTTGTCACTTTTTGAAAGTAGGCAGACAGGAAATGGGATGAGAGAGAAGGGAAAGGCATGCAGCCATATGTCCACCAAGCTGAGAATCGAACCTGTGAGGACTGCATTTAGATTCTGAACCTGGGTGGTGCGCTTAGTCTGTGTGTTTAAATGAGAGAACACCACCGCTGTGCCTGTATATAGACATACTTTGAAAAAATTGTAGCTCAGATTTGTCATTCAACAATAGTACAATATTTTAGCCTGATTGAAATACATACAATTCATTTGAATCAAAATACCCATATTCAGTTAATCATATGAGGCCAGTTGATTGGTTGGTATCACGGGGAGTCTAATTAGTCGCATAGTTAATCAATGTTGCAGCAATCCCTCATCCCAAGCAGCCAGGTTCTGAAAGTTTGACCTATTGCTGCGAAAGGCGAGAAAGAGGGACAGAAGAAACCGTACAGAGAAGCACAGAGGCAGGGGAAGAGAAATAAAGTTTACACAAAAATTGAATATAATATCACGTCAGTGGTTTTCTTTGGGAAAAAGTCACAGAAGCACTGGCTTGGAGTACATGGAAAGATGCATAATATTACATCTGGTTACTACCAACTAGCTCAGCTTGAAGCCCTGACTGGGAAAAAGACACAACAGATATAGAAACAACAAGGAGCCAGTAAAATTTCATTCATGTAGAAAGAAATTCACTAGTAGACATGGAAGCACTTGGACCAAGATTACACTACTTCCATACCAGCAATAGCTCTGACCTAGGAAAATGATGCAATCGAATACAAAAGCGTTAAGCCAGCAGTACTTTCTATGGCAAAGAAAAACATACTTAAATGCAGTAGTAAATTTACATAATGTAATTAAAGAGAGAAGTTAAGAATGAAGAAATTGTGTTGTTTGCTCTCATGAAGTAACATAAGTACCAAAACCACTCTAACAATATGTGTTATAAAAAACAGGAAAGTTCAAATAAAGAAATCAGTAGTTTCGCTTCCTAATTTTTTTTTTTCTATTTGTCATCTCAGAAAGCTGATGATCTGTCACTAAACGTTTTCAATGTGTTGCATTTTAAGGGTGCAGGAACTGATGAGGCGTGTCTGATTGAGATCTTGTCTTCACGTTCAAATGCAGAAATTCAAGAGATCAACAAAATCTACAAAGCTGGTGAGATGGTCTTAATGTTTTAAAACAAAAATAAAAAGCTGCGGGGCTTTTTGTGGTTTGCTAAGTTTGAAGTTATCTAGTAATGTGTTTAATCCTCAGGTCCACAGCACAACATGAGATTGTTTATATTTATCAGGTGGCATCCAAAGCTGCTTTCTAGTTGAGCCACACAGTATGGCGACCCTGCTGGCTTCAGTGTTATAGCTGAAGAGGATTTAACTTGTTATAATGGGAAATTTGAGACTCAAACCAGCAACATTCCACATATTATTTTTATGAACATTTAGTCTGTTAAACAATATTATCAAGGTTTATTAAATATTTAAATGTTCTGCATACTACATGTGTAGACAAAAAAGTATAATATTTATCCATTTCAGAGTATGGAAAGAAATTGGAGGACGCCATCATCAGCGACACCTCCGGTCACTTCCGCAGACTGCTCGTCTCTCTTTCTCAGGTGGCTCTATCTTTATTTTAAACAATAAAAGCTGTTTAAACTTCTCAATCTGAAATCAGGGTCACCTATTATGAAGCAAACACCTTTAGTAGATCTTGTTTAAAGGATCAGTGGATAACTTTTGTAAAAAAAAAAAAATAGACTTATTTGTTTAAACTGTCATTAAATGGTGACAGTAGAAACTGAGCCAGATAATCTATAGAATCTGTGGCTTCTTCCTGTGGTCTGTTTCTAAAATTATATTGGTTAGCTTGGTTAGAGCTCAAGATTGTCTGTGTGCTGCAGCTGTATTTCAGTGTAAAGCACAACGTTGACGTTTCTTTGCTTCATGCCTTCCATCCTCATCCTTCCCATCCTTTAGCTGTTGGATTGTCTTCAAAATTAACAATTTATTTTAGCAAGGGAGGACTCTGTGTGGGGAAACAAAGAATTCAGACCTGGATTTTTTATTTAATTTTTTCCAAACACCACAACCTGATTAATGCAAACCAATTGTGTACTGTGGCAAGATAATCACAAATGATTTACAAATTATTTTAAAAGCATAGCCTAAAAAACCAAAAATCGATTTAAGATGCTACCTGAACCCAGATTGTTCTGGCTTTAGTTAAACCAAACATTAAGGTTCCACCACAGCTTCATATAGAGACTGTTTGACTTAAATCCACATCTTTTTTTTTTTTCTGCTTGCTTAAAAGGGAACGCCGTTTTTTTTTTTTCTTGTTTGTTTTTGGCCCTTGATTTTACGTTATTACATCATGTTCTACTCAACCATATGAGTCTTGTGTCAGTTGGAGCTGTTCTGAAGATATTCCGTTTTGTTATATCCAAGTAACGTCTTCCTATGGGCGAACGACTTGAAGGCACAAACTGAACTGTTCATAATTTATTATTTATGGTACGCCAGCATTCATAACATGTAGGCGAATCACTGTCCCCCAGACATCTGCGGTTATATTTTTCATATTTATATGTTTTAAAAATGAAGCGGCGCGTGTATGAAGTAATCCGCGCGCATGCGCACTGGAGTCGTAACAGGCAGCCCGGGCCAAAGGCAGCTACGCTCCACCCCTTCTATTTGTACGGCTAGCTAATCTGAATCGTTCAATTCCATTTCGAGAGCGAGATCATCTGTGGTAGTAGCACTAGACATCTTCCAGGCATGTGAGTAAAACTAGCAGCAGTTCAGCAGACCGGATGAATGAACGATAGCCGGCGCACTCGGATGATGTCATACACGTGCTGCTTAATTTTTAAAAGATATAAATATAAAAATATACCGCGGATGTCCGGGGGACAGTGATTCGCCTACGTTATGAAAGCTGGCGTACCATAAATAATAAATTATGAACAGTTTAGTTTGTGCCTTCAAGTCGATTGCTCATAGGAAGACGTTACTTGGATATAACCTAACGGAATATCTTCAGAACAGCTCCAAATGACACAAGACTCATATGGGTGAGTAGAACATGATTTAATAGCGTAAAATCAAGGGCCAAATGTAAAAAAAAAAAAAAACGGCATTCCCCTTTAAGGCTTTGTTGCCAGTTTGCTAAATTTCTGGCATCGCTGCTGTAATTATTTACCTCATCCTGGGGCCATTGCAAAACAGACCCGTTAAGTGATTTAGATCTATATGACAATAAGATCATTTTTAAATGTTGAATGGTGCTGCTGTGACTCTTTATACTACTGTCCACGTCCTCCCTGACAGAAGGAGCTATTACAGCACAAGTTCTGCTTATTATACTTTCTGCTTTCGTTTCCTTCTTTGCTTAAGATTCAATGCAAGAGACACTCAGCTTATACCATGAATAATAACTTACTAACTGACTCTTTATAAGCACCAGCAAGGTTTATATCATAACAAACATCTTTTTAATCTTGACAGGGTTATACCTGTTAAATAGAATAATATAATCAGGTTTCTCAGCAGCATTTTGCTCTCATCTGATCTGTAACCACTGAGCAGTCAAGCAGCCAGGCTACCAGGAGCTGTCCCACCTTTTCCGATGCTCTGTCAGCATCTGTATTCAATAGATGTTTATATACTGCACTTCATGCAGTATCATGACATGTCTAAAGACCAAAACAGGAGGCAGCCTTTTGGGTCCAGGTTATTAAACAATGTGAAAGAATAATATTACCAAATCTTGTTTGTTGTATCTGAAAATTACACAGCATATGAGAATGGATTTACTAAGGTTAACTTTAGTTCACTCCTTAAATAAAGTGACTGACATGAATAAGCACTGCTTTCATCAGTGAACAACTATTTGATGTGTGATGTATGTACTTAAAAATACATACACAAATGCATGAAAGACTTAATATAAAATTGCTTGGAAAAAGTAGCTAATAATATGAATATGTGTGGCATTATATGCGACACAATAATAATGATTAAATATTTCTTCAACAATGAATCAATTATTCATCTAAAAATATGTATATATGTTAACTTGCACTTTTATTTTTACTTTTCTGCACACTTTTACGCTGACTTGTTTTTAACCTACTTATTTTCTACTATAGATTTTTCTTAAAGTCTTTACTTCATGTTTGTGTATTTATTTCTTTTTAAGTTTCATTTCAACATGCTTTTATTTCTGAAAAAATGATTAATTTCAGCTTCTGTCCTCCATATAGTCTGCTTTTGCAGTTATTTTACTGGTTAGCCATACCACTAACCAGTAATTTCTATTGCCTCGTGACACAAGCCATATTTACTAGCTGGCAAAATTACTTGCATCTGCCGCAACAAAAGATTTGCAGCCTCATCTACTTGTGTGTCGAGTTCAATAATATTGTTTTTTAACCTGACAAAATAAAAAAAATATTTATTTTTATTTTTATTGTCTGGTTGAGACACTGTTAAGGTCAGATTAAGGCTGGACAACATAAAACCTTTGAATCCCATATCTGCAGTAGGAAATGTATGCCTGTTAGAAGAGAGCAAACAACTTCCAGTAATTTGATCGTTTGCATGTTCACATGACCTGCAAATGCGACCACAGGCTCAGCAATTAAGCTATTGCACAAACCAGAAAGAAGTCTGTGGATAAATCTGTTCAATAATTGTTCATTATTTATGACTAGAAGCAAACAGCCAAAAATTGTTCTCCAGTAAAAGTAGTATTCCTTTAAATACATATTGCTCCTGTTCATAAAGGTAATTACTTTCACATCATACTCTTTGCTTTTAGCTCTTTGCATTGTTGTTGTATTTATTCTGGCTCTGGATGCCAAACTGGTTTGCCATCCCTGCTCATGATACTCAACATATATCTAATATCTGATCACAATTATAAGACTAGAGGCTGGCCCAAAAAAGTCACTTAGCAACACACAATAATTAATAAGATTGTCAAAATATCAATACCACATCACTGATGCAGAGCAGGACCTGTGTGGCATTGCTTTTAATATGTTAAGATTGTTTAAATGTACTACATTTTTAAACCGCTTTTAAAATGTTAAAATCAAAATGGCTGAAACTACAGGTCTGCACTGCCCTGTAGAAGTATTAATTTATTTTCTCATGTATTAACCACAAGGGATACTACATGACCAAATAATGCAAAGTTTTCAAGTGAAAAGGTTTCCAAAAAATGTGTTTAACTCATAATAATTCTGAAGTGTTATTTGTATTTGGCTGCACTGGGCAGAAGAAAAACATTGGCTCTGTTTTCCTAGAAATGGAAGCTACTTTAAGGTTCAAAATCTCAAACTTAGAGTAGAACCTTTAGGTACTATAATTTAGCACTAGCCCTACAGGTTTGGGAACTGATTTTCTGTTTTGTTTTATTCAAATCAGGGAAATCGAGATGAGAGGGAGACTGTCGACGTCTCATTGGCCAAACAGGATGCTCAGGTACGACTAAAGTAAATTCACTCTAAATAAGTTTAGAAAGAATATAAATACACTTCTATTGATATTGTATCTTTTTCAGAAATTGTACGCGGCTGGTGAAAATAAAGTGGGAACGGATGAGTCCCAGTTTAATGCCATCCTGTGCGCTCGAAGCAAGCCCCACCTTCGTGCTGGTGTGTAAGATTTGCTTCTTTCTTTATATATATATATATATATATATATATATATATACTGTGATTGTAGACATGTTATTTGTATTTTTCTGCATTCAGTCTTCCATGAGTACCAGCAGATGAGCGGGAGAGACATTGAAAAGAGCATCTGTAGGGAAATGTCTGGAAATCTGGAGTCTGGAATGGTGGCTGTGGGTATGTTGACTTTTTTTCGTTTTTACTTTGATAAAAGGACTATTTTACAGATAAAAATCTGTGAAGTGAGGTATGCATTTGAATTCAGTCCCATAAGGTTAATATTTAGGTGAACCAGCTATTTCTGAAGTATAAGCCTCAACTCTTTTTCTGGGTGCTTTGTCCATCTGCAGACATTTGCCCATTTATATATATATTTGCTCATTTATCTTAGCAATATAGCTCACCTCTATACAGATTCCTTCAGGTACTTTCTCAATCACTGATATCAGAGCGACAGACAAGTCTGTAGGAATTTAATCCTGCATTCAGCATTGTCTGGTTTATTGAACATTATTTTGCCCCTACTGTGTCACTTTCCCCCCTGCAGAGGGAAAACACCTTTGCAGCAGGGGTGGATACCAATGAAATATCAATATTTATCAAATACTTTATTCAATAACCCTGATATGACCTTTCCGTCATTTGAATATACATGACAGTCTATGATTACAGCATTTGTGTGACTTTATGGGTTTTATTTGCTTTGTTTTTGTTTTTTTTTAGTTGTTGTAGTAAGCAAATATTTCTAAGATGACAAAAATTAAAGGTTTGTGCAAGATGCTATTGTGGGCATTCTTAGCAGTGTGTCCTGAGACTTTTATTTTGTTTATATCAATAATAGAATTATATTATATTATCCGACATTAAGAAATATGGCGATATAAGATTTAGCTATATTGTAAATCCCTTCTCGACATGTTCAGTTTCATTTAGTGTGTTTGCGTGTAATCGTAAGGTGCAGTCTTAGTCGCATCCTAACGTGATTAAATCAGTTGCACATTTTTAAAACCTATTCGGTTTTAAAAATGTGCAGCTGATTTAATAATTTTTCAGGTCTGGATAGTTGAAGAAAAGACAAATTATTGAAAATGTTTTCAATTTTCAAACTTCATTCCCTCCTTTTTTATCTTTCATCCTCCCTTCCCAAATGTTATTTATTCTTTTCATTTTTTATGCTATATCTAAATCATTGTTCACTGTTGGACTAACACATAAAATACTATGCACTTAAGTCTAGTTGGACTCTGACAAAATGTGGAATAGTTAACAAAGAGTTAAGCCTCTTTAGTTAATATTAGTTAAGCAGTAAAATATTAGGGGCACATTAGGTCATTATATTGCTGTCCTAGTATTTGTTAAGACATAGTTTGTCAATGAGGTTTGTACATCGATAAAAGAATAGAGCATTGCATGTGAATGTTATTAACCTTCTGGATAATAGAAAAGGTGTTTGGTTATTCTTTTACAAAAAGGGGGAGCCAGATTATAGCATTTCTACTCCAGAAAAGAAACTTATGTTACGTTGTTTTCTCTGTTTTTCAGTCAAATGCATTAAGAACACTGCAGCCTACTTTGCTGAAAGACTCCATAAGGCCATGAAGGTAAACCTTTTATGCTGCATTTTCATTTATTCATGATAATAAACGCATTATTTTCACCCTATGATGTGAGATGGAGCTTGTAAGAACATTATGATTTGCTATCAGGGAGCAGGGACTAAAGACACGACACTCATCCGTGTCATGGTGTCCCGCTCTGAGGTGGACATGCTGGATATCAGACAGGAGTATCTCAAGGCCTATGGGAAGTCACTGTACACTGCCATCTCTGTAAGTTAAACTTATTTTGTTCTGTGAAAAAGCTAAAATGTTTTTTTTATCACAGATAAATTGATGTTCAGAAGAGTTCTGCTTCTGTAGGAAGCAAAGCAGGCCCGCAACATGATGGATTCCTCACCTTACTAAAGTGCAGGCATGACCTGCTTTTTCTGTTCAGTTATAGTCCCGTTAGTGTTTAAGAAACTCCACACTTTGTAACAGTGGGATTGAAGGCCAAAGGTTGCATCTTTATTTCCCTTTAGAGTAATTGCTGCAGTTCTCTAACAGCTCTGTTTGCTTCTATTTTTCAAATTACCTGAGTGATAAGGCACGAAATATCTCCAGTTCTCATATTGCTGTCATATTCCAGGCTTTGAACATTTTTATTATTTCTATGACTGGGGTTTTAGGTTGGTAGATATTTCCATGCAGCCAATTGCTGCCTTAGGTAAAAGGCATTTTCTCTTGTCATTCTCCTTTTTGAAAAGTGGCTAAAACACGAGTTATCAGCCAAATCCCACCTTGAGAAACAGAAAATGGATAAAAGCACAAGGACAATTAGACTACTTTAAATCACAATTAAATTGGTTATATTTATCTTAGGGAAATGGTGCTACATTTCTCAAGATGAGATAAAACAAATGTGTTTTAACTTTAAGGCTCTTTATACTTCAATATGCCTGATTAGTATCAGGGCTGTTGTTGGTGCTTGTTTCACATTTTAATATATTTGTCTGTGTGCTTCTCTTAGAGTGATACTTCAGGGGATTACCAGAAGCTGCTGTTGAAGCTGTGCGGCGGAAACGACTAAACTGAATGAAAATGCACCTCAGATGGACAACATACACGTCCGCACTTAAACAATCCTATAAATCCTATATCATCCCTGATGCATGCCGCAAATGCCTTTAGCAAATCAATTTTGATTTTATATTTTCATATATATATATTTAACATGATTTTTGATATATTCTTAGGTGCTGTAGGTTAGTGAACAATCTGATAAAGAAGAAACAGGAGACTTATGTGATTTGTGCCACAACATTTCCTTGATAATTAAAATTTAACCTATATGTATGCTTTAGTAAAACGCATTGCATCCCAGATAATAAGAATATATTGATGTTTAGTTGCACCGTAAGGCTTTAAACCTAAACTTTGCATAGGTTTGGTTGTTCTGAAAAATCATTGAGAAAAGAATGAATACTAACTGCAGCCTCTGTGCCTTTTTAGTATTAATGATATTTAGAAACTCCGTGGAGGTTATAGCAGTGTCATCAAAATGAATGTATGAGACTCCCGAAGAGAGAAGTCATCTGATTAGATTAATATTAGGGCAGCGTATGTTTACAGCAGTCATTTAAACTAATGAAATGAAAAACCTGCAAATATCTTTTCCTTTTCGCTTTTGTTCTTTCAGCATCTGGACTTTTCCTGCTTCTAAGCCTCTGCGAGTAATCTTTGTATGTTTTTCTGTAACTGTTTAACTTTTACAGCAACATTGCTTTACTCGTTGCCAAGAAGCCAAAGACTAAAGATGGAGCATGTTTTATGTTTTATTGCATCTTCCTCTTTGACCTGTTTGAGGAATGGTAAAGCCTTAAAATCCTCTCATAACCCTTTGATATAACAGCCAAAATATAATTTTTTTTGTTGGGTAAAAAAATAAAATCATTATGCTTTGCCTTTTACTGAGTGCTCTTTTTTTACTATGTATTCCTGCCAGTAGAGGGCTCCTGGTTCACAGTCTCCATATATTTTTGTCACTGGTCTGCTTGAAATCAAACCATTTATTCATTTTTATTCTTCCTATTTTATATCCGTTTTCTTCCAAGTATGTTTAAAATGAAGATTTGAGAAACACATAAATAGAAAGGGGGAGGGGGGGGCTTCTTATTTAGTTTTTCCAATTTTTATAACTGCATATTTTTTCATTATCTAGGTTATTGAGGTTTTACGTAACTTTTCTTTGCAGACATCCTATGTAAAACATAAAAAAGGTTATTTCAAATAATTTTTTTTTTTTTACTCAAGCAAAGATCTGTAATGTTTTTTTTTTGTTATTATTTTTGTTAAAAAATAAAAAAAAAAGTCAGCAAAGATGCTAGCTAATTGTTTTCTGGCCCTAGATGAGCAGACCCAGACGATTCTGCATGCAAACCTATTTCTTGCAGTTTGGACATGTCCTGTTTTATAAATGAGCCAAACAACAGAGAGACGGATTTGCTCCAGACAGACTAAATGATGGCTGCATAAAAGATGACTACCAGCTCCAGTGGAAGATGGTACTCTCTATATGCCCATATGATAATGAGGAGTACTGTTTTTGTTTCAGTAATTGCAGCTTTGGTGTAACTTCTGTATATTTTTGTGCTGTCAAAAATACACCGCCAATTTTCACTATTTTGAAAGCTTCCTACTCAGTTCATCAAAAACATCTTGAACTTCAAAGGTACTAGTAATTTTTACATCAAATCTAAGAAATGAGAGGTTTGCTTCATGCTTTTGTTAACATGCAGCACAGAGCTTTTCTGAGATCTATAGTGAATGTGAAGACTTCTTTATATAGTGTTGACTCATTTTAAAGTGCAGTCTTAGAGGGAGTGTATTATTTAGAGAAAAGGTTTCTTCTCTAACTTTACCATTACCCCCCCATAAAAAGAGCCCAACAGTATAAATATTTGATGGTGTTATATGTGTATTCTCTATTCAGAAAGGAATGTGTGCACTGATACCTCCTGAAATGTAGGTCAAAAAGAAATCAAAGTAGAAGCTTTTAGGAGGTTGTTTTTTATTTTATAAGTCTGCACTCCTGGCTGATCCTGATTTCTAGACATTCTTAAAATGTGCGATCAAGGGAAACATCCAAATAGGGATACACTGCCAAAGTCACCTTTTGGCACCCCTGGTAAACACACACAAAATATTTTTCGAAATGTTTTGGCTCACCCATCCAAAAGATGACATTGTAGGTGCTCCAATCAGATCTATGGCCATAGGTGTTTTAAATCTGAAAGCAATTGTGAAAGAATGGGTCAGTCGGAGCAGCTCTACATATTTTAGCAGAGATATAAAAGTGGGAGAGATTCAGAGTGAAAGCTCAGCTGTATACTAACAGTGAGGGAAATGGATGCCTGTGAAGATTCTTGGTCATCCAGGTCAAGCTTGAAAGGTTCATTTTAGGCAACTGGACAAGGAAGTTTTCAAGAAGACATTTCGCTTCTCATCCAAGATGCTTCTTCAGTTCTAACTAGTGGTAGTGAGCACTGACATTTATGTACAAAGAGTACGAGAAATTTAGGAATTATGGGGATTGGCCATGGAGGAGACCTGCTGGGGTGTTAATGGTCATTAGGGGGTTCTGATGGGTTGTTAGCTCCCTTGTCTGAGTGGTTTCGGTCATATGCCTCATTGAAGTGTGAGGTGAGGGCCGGTGACAGGTGAATCTTCTGGGTATTGTAAGTGCTTTGTAAGTAGGGGACAGGTTATGTCTTAGAACACTTTGAGAGATGGTTTCTCCAGGTTAATAAAGATGGCTTCCTTAACCCCTCGCTCAAACCATCTGTCTTCCTTGACCAGAATATAGACCTTGTTGTCCTCAAATGAATGTTGTTTAACCTTCAAGCTGAGTCTTGTCCTGAGGAGTTGACCGTCCTGTGCTGAGCAATGCATTTGTGTAGCGGTTTCTTGGTCTCCGCAATGTAAAGGTCTGTGTCCTCATCATTACACTGAACGGCATAAACCATGTTGTCTGCCTTATTTCTGGGTGTCTTACCTTTGGGTGAACCAGCTTTTTGTCTCAGGGTGTTGCAGGGATTCAAGTACACAGGGATCTGGTGCTGGTTGAAAATCCTCCTGAGTCTTTCAGAGAATCCAGCAACATAGAATGATGATGTTCCTTCTTCTGCATTCTTCCCTCCCAGCAGACCTCTTCTTGTTGGTTTAAAAAAAAAACAATCTGGGAAATGGATGGCGGTGCAGAGAGAGAGTAGAGGTAACCCATTTTTATGTTATGTTATGGGGTTGTTTTTCAAAAGCTGAGTTTAGAATTGGTATACTTTAATTTTCTAAGAGATTTTATTAAGAGATTTTAATTTTTTGAGATTTTATATTAATTTAATTTCCCCGAGAAGAATTTAATATGACTAAGCAGGTGTGAAATGCGTTGACCGACCTGCACATCAGAGTCCTGGTCTCAGAGCTATACAACACATTTGTGATTAATCAGAGAGGAGACTGAGAGCTGTGCTTTCACGTCCAACATCAGTCTATGACATCACTAAAGTGCTTCTGGAGGAATGGTCAAAATTCCCATGAACCTGCTCTTAAACCTCCTGACCTTTTAGGTCAAATGTGAATAAAAAATGTATTTTAATCATGCAAATTCATTTTGAATAAAAAACTCTAACACAAGTATAATGTCTTAAAATGTTTCCTTTTGCTGAAAAAAAAAATTAAAATGCTATTTTTTAACTGACTTATGCTAATAAAATATACATATGTTCTGAGACTTTTATAGATTTTTGTAAAGAAAGTGTTAATACATTTGTAGGGTGCTATATATAAAAAAAAAATTTGCATCTAAGTAAGTCCTTTTTTCTGGAAAAAAAAGTGATTTTTTTTTTTATTGAGCAGACAAGTGAGACACTTTGCCTATGGAAGATGTCAATTTAGATTTAAAATTAGAAAAAGCAACTGCAGTCACTTATTTCAAGTGCATATTATATAATTATTTTATTTCAATGGTAAAAATGCTTATTCCACTGGGAGATCACCTTATTTTTTCCAACTCAAATTAAGGGTAAATACACTTAATTTAAGACATTTTGACTCATTTTCAGAAAATGCAATCTATAAAGATAGCATCTTTCTGCTTTATTAAGGCAAGATTTATTTTTTGTAACAAAATCAACCACTAAATGTTACTCACCAACACACCAGACATGTCAGTGATGGAAAACTAAACTCATATGCATCTTTTTGTGGTTTTAGTATCCAGTCACTAATGCAATCACTGCACTTTAGACAATCACTAAGAGCAGGAGTAAGTATTGGCTGAATTGTTGATTCGCAGTGGATTTGCTCCAGCTGTCCAATGAGGGCTGTACAACCAAGTGACATTTGGTTGCCAGTGGCCTAATCCTGCTTTAAACTATATGAGTGCATATAAGCAAATTACAAAACCCAAGGATTAGATGGACAACAAACAAATAATGAGATGGGGTGGCAAATATTGCTCTCTGAATGCTTCAGCCTTTCTAATATTAGGTGAAACACAGGGATAAAGTGCATATGCAGCCATGTCAAAATGAAAAAGTGGATATGCAGATATATGAAAATGAATGCACATATTAAAAAAGTGCAAATCAACTGCGGGGAAGTAAAATAGCACCAAATGTATTCATTGATGTTTTTTTACTGTAACCTCACATGCTGATTAGATGCTTTGGGGAATACACGTAACTCCTGAACACTCTAACTAACTTGCTTGGTGAGAACAAAATGGATTTCCCCGGCGGGAAGAGCAAATTATTAGAGAGGTTATGTAACATTGTTGAAAGTGTTTCAAACTTAAATGTACAGGAACACTGTGCTCTATGGTAAGCTCTAAAGCCAGGACCTATTTGACCTAGCAACAAATGCGACTCCTAATCCTTATAAGTACTATGCAGTGAAGCTGCCTAGAAATAAAGATTACATATATCAGTCATTGTTCCAATCTCACATACATTATGTTCTGTTGTATTTATATCTCTTAATCTTTTTTTACTCTTTGTCAATTTATAGCCACAAACTTCATTCTAGATCTGTTTGCATTTTATGTGACAGACCAACATAAAGTGGTGCATGAATATAAAATAGAGTAGGGGTTCCCAAATTCAGGGTCTAGACCCTGCAGGGTTGCAAGATAGTTTTAACAATAATTTTAATATGAGGTATATAGAGTGCATAAATATATCTTGTATGGAATAAATTTAGTGTAAAATAAGTAGATGTAACATTTATTTATTCAACTAATACATTATTCAAATAATAGATAAACTAATTAATTGTGAAATACAGATTTAAATACTAAAATTTCCCATTAAGTAGTTATTTTGAATTAAAGTAGTTCATTTGAATTAAATTTACTTATATAATAATTATATAAAGCTTATCTGGTTAGATGTATAGAATGTCTCTTTTTGGCTTAAAAAAACATGCTGCACATTGCCCTTTACACTCCACCCTATGAGAAAACATGGTAGTGGCAGCAACATGCTATGTGTTTTCTTAGCAGTGGTAGGGAAGGTGTTTAGAGCTACAGTCCAATCCTGGAAGAAAATCTGCAATTGATGCTGCAAAATGTTTGCAACTGCATTCCTTTAAAAAGGAGAACAACAATAAACATACAGCAAGATCAGAGCATAGTCATGTGAATGAATGTCATACTATAAACTCAGATATAAATCCTTGTCAGAATCTGTGGCACAACCTGAACTGTGTTGCTCACAGTTTTCTCTGCACAATCTAAATAAGCTTAAAATAGTTTGAAAAGTAGAATTTGAAATCATTTTAGTCTCCAGATGTGGAACATTTGTCAGTACAGGCTTGAATCAAGGTATTGACTCATAGGGGGTGAATAAAGATGAACTCCACACTTTTCAGATTTTCTAGAGTGTTTCAAACATCTAAAGAGATCTTAATTTTTTTCAAAATATAATGAGCTCCATTTTTTTTTTTATCATCAATATTGATTTTCATTAGTTTTTTTGACTTAACTAAAACATCTGCAGCAATATTAAGGGACGAACACATACAGTTGGATGAAAAAAGACGAGAAAAATGCTGTTTTATCATTACTTTTATTGTTATAACAA